AGGGGGGACAGGGCATTGGGACAGGGCACCAGGGAGTGCAGGGACAGGGAAACAGGGAGTGCAGGGCACTGGGACAGGGACAGGGCACCAGGGAGTGGGGACAAGGGGACAGGGCACCAGGGAGAGGGAATAGGGGGGGTCATGGCACCAGGGAGTAGGGACAGAGCACCAAGGAGTGGGGACAGGGGCTCCATGGCACCAAGAAGTGGGGACCAAGGCACCAGGGAGTGGGGACATGGGGATAGGGTACCAGGGAAGGGGGACGTGAGGATCCATGTCACCAAGTAGTGGGGACAGGGGACAGGCCACCATAGAGTTGGGACAGGGCTCCCTGGCACCAGGGACAGGGGACAGGAGAGACAGGGCACCAGGGAGTTGGGATGTGGGGATAGGGCACCAGGGAGTGGGGACAGGGGGTCCATGGAACCAGGGAGATGGGATAGGGGGGTCATGGCACCAGGGAGTGGGGACAGGGACAGCCCCAGTGACATCCCCCAGAGATAACTCTTCAGCACAACCTGCCTCATGTGGACTTCAAGGAGCAGCATTCCCTTGTGGGTGGAAAAGAATGGGATCCCCCTGGAACGTTTGCACCTCAGTGTTTGCACCAGGAGGAGACTGGGTTTGCCCATGGGATGAGGGGTTTCAGCTTTGCAGAGCTGTTCCATGGGGTGTTTATTGAGGCAGATCCCAAAGAGCAAAGGGATCCCTGCTCTCCAAATCCACGTGGGCTCTGCTGGTCCTTGGTGGAGATCCATGGGGGAATGTGGAGCCAGAGAGCCCAGAACACATTTCTGACATCCCCAGCTCTGTCACCCGTCTGAGGTGTGAAGGAAGGGAGTGTACAGCCCTCAGCTGAGCCAGGGCTCCGTGGGGCCTTCTCCCAAGGGGAATTATTGTCTGCTGAGGGCTGTGGTGGTTCTGACAGTGTTTATCAGGAGATAAGTGTTGTGGCTGTGGCTCAGCAGCTGTGCTGATCCCTGGAGCATCCCCTCCATTGTTGCAGCACAGCCTCATCCATCTCCTAATCCAGCACCAAATCCCATTTGCAGGCCAGCTGGTAGAACAAACATTCCTGCTGTTCTTAGAGTGCTGGAGAGCAAAGCAGCATTGAGGGATTCAGCAGGAACAAAGGAACGTTTTCATTGTTTTCCCTCTCTCTTTTCCAGGTGGATCTTTCCGTCACTTCCTTTGGCAAGTGTGCAAAGAGCTCCAGAGCTCCTCCCTCTCCCTGCTCCTGCTGTGCCCCAGCTCTGCTGTCAATAAGAACAAGGTGTGAGATCCCAGTGCCAAAAATGAGGAAATTTTTCTCTTTTTGAATGCTGGGTTAGAACAGGAGTGGGACATTGGGTCAGAGGTGCAGAGAGAGGCCTCAGATCCATGAAACCAAGCAGATCCCATATCCTGGGAGAGCTGGGAGTTGGTGATCCCATGGTGCATCTCTTGTGTGCTGCAAAATGGAACAGAATTTTTATTCTGTGGCTTTACTCCAGGAATGTCACCAGGATAGTAAGATGCTCCATCCATGCTATTTAGTGTCTGATTTGCTAGAAACAAGATAAAGCTGATAGTCCAAAGAATTCTCGGTAATTCCTTCCTGGGAATGTTCTTAGGTAGGAAACAGTTTGATTCCCTCAGCTGAAGACCAACTGTGTAGCAAACCTGGCTCTGCAAATCCAAGCTCAGAAACATCCCACAGCTGAAAGGCTTGGATATCAAACTGATGTAACAATCCAGAAAATGCTGTGAGTGTTGAGCAACAGCTTGGCAAAATGGGAACCAACCAGGATGGGGTTGGTTGGATCAGGAGGTGATGAGATAAGGCGATAGCAGTGTGTGAAAGGCAGGGACTCTGCTGTGCTGGAGCAGCTCCTCTGGTCCCAGCTGAGCATTCCTGCCTGGGGCAGGAAGGGTGCCCTGGCACAGGCAGCCCCCAGGCTGTGGGCAGCTGCTCAGGGCTGTTCCCTCCGCAGGGGAAGTACATCCTGACCCCCAGCCCCATCACCTACGCCGAGGAGCAGCTGTTCCATTTCTTCGGGCAGCTCCTGGGCATCGCCATCCGCGCCGACGTTCCTCTGCCCCTGGACCTCCTGCCCTCCTTCTGGAAGACCCTGGTGGGAGAGCCCCTGGATCCTGATGTGGATCTGCAGGAAGCTGACATCCTCACCTACAACTATGTCAAAAAGTTTGAAAATGTAGGTTCCTTTTCCCTCTTCCCTCCTTTTCCTCAGGATTCCCCCATGGCACAAATGTGCCTGCCCTCGCTGGTGGCTGCCAGGTGGTTTTTGTGGCAGCAGGGTTGGGAGATGGGTGGATGGATTCCTCTTGGATGCAGGATTTCACATCCTGTTCCCTTGGAGAAGTTCCCCACACTCCCAGGCATGGCAGAATTCTGGCTTCTGGAATATTTACTGGAATTGCTAAACCAGGCCAGAACCCCCAAAGCAGGATTTTGCTGTTGGAGTCCCCATTGTGGGGAGGCCTGTGAGGAGGCAGTGCCGTGCTGGTGACCAGTGTGAGGAGGCAGTGCCATGCTGGTGACCGGGTCCTTGTCCTTGCTCTGTGACAGATCAGCGACGAGACGGAGCTGGAAGCGCTGTGTGCCGAAATCGCCTCCCAGCACCTGGCCATGGAGAGCCCCGACTGCCCCAACAAACCCTGCTGCAAATTCACCTACCCGAGCCTCACTGGGGAGGAGGTGGAGCTGTGCCCCAGGGGCAGGCACATCCCTGTGGGGTAAGGAGCAGCCTTCCCGGCAGGATGTGGCACAGAGCATCTCTGGCATTGTTCTCCAAGCACAGCCTCTCCAGAGGTGCTTTTGTAACAAGTTGCAATGACCTGGGAAGGCTCTGCTCTGTGAGAAGGTGGCAGAACTTGGGTTCACTGGTGCTGTTTGGCTCTGTAAGGGACAGAGGGGCAGGGCTGGTCCCGGCTGTGAGGGATGGGCAGGTGGGAGGGGAGGAGGAGGTGGAGGACAGCAGAATTAACTGGGAACCATTGGAATGCCAAGTGTGTATTGGTAATTCTGGATTGTTCCAGATCAGGATCTCTCCATAAAGCCCTTCCCTGTGTAACACAGGTGGGGCTCAAGGGCTCTCCCAGGAGTTCTCCCTCAGCCAGGTCTGTGCCCCTGCAGGTGGGAGAACAAGGACGTGTACGCGGCCGCCATCCGGAGCCTGCGCATGCGGGAGCTGCAGAGCCCGGAGTGCATGACAGCAGTGAGGGCAGGGCTGGGCTCCATCATCCCCCTGCAGCTCCTGACCACGCTCACCCCCCTGGAGATGGAGCTCAGGACCTGTGGCCTTCCCTACATCAACCTGGAGTTCCTCAAGGTGCTTTGGCCACGCTCCTGTGGGGCACAGAGAGGGGGATCCTCCGGGGGAAGGTGGGAGGGGAGAATCTTCTGGTTTTGGTTCCTCAGCCAGGACATCCTTGAGGAGCTGCTTTGCCCCCAGGGAAGTTTATTAAGATTTCACTGGATTCAGGAAATAATAGGGTGGGGTTTGTGCAGAGAGGAATAGGAGTCTGAACTGGGGAAAATTCCTGAAGGGAGAGGGGTGAGCAGCAGTGGACACGTGTCCCTGTCCCCTCAGGCACACACCATGTACCAGGTGGGGCTGATGGAGACCGACCAGCACATCGAGTTCTTCTGGAGCGCCCTGGAGATGTTCACGCAGGAGGAGCTGTGCAAGTTCATCAAGTTTGCCTGTAACCAGGAGAGGATCCCCTTCACCTGCCCCTGCAAGGACGGCGGCCCCGACACCGCCCACGTGCCCCCCTACCCCATGAAAATCGCGCCCCCCGACGGCGCCGCAGGTACGGGAGCAAGGGAGGGAGGGAAAACGGAGCTGCTGCTGCTGCTGCTCCCGGCTCTGTGCCCCCTTTAATGAACAGTGACAAAGAGGGACAGGTGGCTATGGGGGTAAATCAGGAGAGAATTGGGGTTTAAATGATGTAAAGCTAAAATTTCACCTAAAACTTAAACTACGTCCAGTGGGGAGTTGCCTGCCCATGGTGGGAGAGTGGAACTGGATGAACTTCAAGATCCTTCCAACCCAAACCGTTCTGGGATTCCACCCTGTAGAGATGCAGAGACACTTTGCTATTTGTCTGAAATTAAACTATTGGGAAAATACTGGTGAGGCCTGATGGGAGAATCACAGAAACATGTACAACTCAGAAGCCCCACAAGAGGCAGGGATAGGATTTTGTTCACAGAGGTCTTAGCATGAGGGAAGAGATGAGGATCTGACTCCATGTTTTAGAAGGCTTGATTGATTATTTTAGGATATATATTATATTAAAACTATGCTAAAAGAATAGAAGAAAGGATTTCATCAGAAAGCTGGCTAAGAATAGAAAAACAGAGAAGAATGATAACAAAGGCTTGTGGCTCGGACAGAGAGTCTGAGCCAGCTGGGCTGTGATTGGCCATTAATTAGAAACAACCAACATGGGCCAATCCCAGATGCACCTGTTGCATTCCACAGCAGCAGATAACCATTGCTTACATTCTGTTCCTGAGGCCCCTCAGCTTTTCAGGAGCAAAACTCCTAAGGAAAGGGTTTTCCATCCAAGCTGCTGTGCCGGTGTTGGTTCGGGTGTAACCGTGGCTGTTTGCAGGCTCCCCGGACTCGCGGTACATCCGCGTGGAGACGTGCATGTTCATGATCAAGCTGCCCCAGTACTCCTCGCTGGACACGATGCTGGAGAAGCTGCGCTACGCCATCCACTACCGCGAGGACCCGCTCAGCGGCTGAGCCAGCAGGGACCGCCTGGAGGCCACTCCGTGACTCTGCAAGGAACCCCTTCAGTTCCCATCCAGCGCCTCCCCTGCGATCAGCTGGGGGTTAATTTATTTCCTGAACCTTCGTTCCCATTACAGTAATTCCCGGAAGACTTCCATTTTGTATTCGTAGACTTTGTGGTGGACTGGTTCTTTTGCTGCCTTGTTTGCGGAATATTTGTAGGATAGTTTAGTAAAGACCGGTTTGTGTATAATTTAATTTGGGGGGGGAAAACCTTTCCACCTGTACATTTCTAATTTTGTAATCCACAATGGTCTGCCCCGTGCAAACACCACTGGCAGGGAGGGCATTCCGAGGCCCTCAGAGGGGGAGGCTCATGGATCGCTCTCCCTGAGAGGTTTTTGAGTACAAAAATGTCAGGTTTGGGTGTGGGGAGGGAATCACTGCATGGGCAGGATTTGTGGCACTTGCTTGAGGTTCGAAGCAGAACTTTGCTGCCAAACTGCTTTTCCACCTTTCCACCACTTTCCTTGAAATTTTTCTAAACTCTGACCAAGCACATGGGGGCTGCCACAGGGAACTGGGGGTTTCAGCTCAACACTTTTGGGAAAATTTCTAATAGAACAGTGAAAGGGTTGTGATTCCTTTGGGTTCCTGCCCTAGATGTTCTTGAATGTCTGCTTTGCTTAGCAACGAAATAATTTATTGTAATTAAAACGTGAGCAGAACAAAACAGCTTCTCTCCAAAGGGTGTAAGATACCACAGTCCATCCAAAAATCCGGGACTTTATCCCATTTCCCAACGAGCTCTTAGAACAACCAGGAGGTGCTCAAACACCTGGAACTCATTTTTGTACTCAAAAATCTTTGATCCAAGAGCAAATTACCCTAAAAACCTCTGACACCCGGCAGGAGGACGAAGCTCCTGTTCTGTGTGGAAAGCTGGGAGGCAGCTGCGGAGCAGGAACAGCTCCACCATGTTCTGTGGAATGTTCTGGATGGTTCAGAGCAGCCCCTCCACCGGTGTCTCATCCCTCAGCAGGATTTCTGGGACACTCCAGCTCTGCTGATCCCTCGGATCCTGAGTTCTGAGGAGGAGACCATCCCGGGATCCGTCGGTGCCGCCCGGGAGGCTCCGGCTGAGGTGACCGAACCTCCAGCTCGGTGTCCCCTGGCTCCAGAACGGCTCCTGGGAATCCCAAATGTATTTATTGTACATTATTGTGAATAGTGGGAACGCTGAGTGCGTGGGATGCGGGAGAGGCGCTGTGAGTTGGGGATGGGTGTCCTTGTTCTTCCGTGAGTGAGTGGGAATGGCAGTGGGAGTGTGTGTGCAGCACTCGTCGGTAGTCGTCGGCATCCGGAGTCTCCCAAGCCCGTGGTTAGGAAGCTGTTACCCTCCCAATGCATACTGCCCTGTCCAGGGAACAGATCCATGTAGGAAGAATATTTACTCTTGAATCTCGTCCATTTCCTGGTAGAAGCGTTGATGTAGCTCAGAAACCACTCGGAGCAAGCGGGAACACCTGGAGTTTACAAAGACCAAGGGCAAAGGAAGCCGAAGGGGCGGCTCGGAGCCGGTTTGTTCCC